CAGCAAATAAGACATGTTTTATTTTTCTCAAATCTGGGCTTGATAAATGGCTTGAACACATCCATTACTCTGGGTGAACTCCTCTCAGTGTGAGTTCTCACTCTTACAGGAAGGGAGCCATTGGTTTATGGTACATTTAGAGTGGCTTTACCACATGTACAAAAAGTCTTTCATAAAAGAATGTTAACTCCGAATGTTAGGAAACAACCCCAAGTGCCTGTTAATAGAAACTGGTCAAATATATTATAAATTCATAAAATGGAACACTTCACATACATTAAAAATTCAGTATCTATACTTACAGAATGATTCTCAAAACCTATTTAAAAAAATTTTTTTTAATGTTTATTTATTTTTGAGAGGGAGAGAGAGACAAGAGTATAAGCCAGGGAGGGGCAGAGAGAAAGGGAGACACAGAATTCGAAGCAGGCTCCAGGCTCTGAACTGTCAGCACAGAGCCCAATGTGGGCTCGAACTCATGAACCGTGAGATCAGGACCTGAGCTGAAGTCAGATGCTCAACTGACTGAGCCACCCAGGCGCCCTTACCATTTGTGTTTTTAATTAAAAAATTTTACTTTTCTGGGGTACCTGGGTGGCTCAGTTGGTTAAACCTCAGACTCTTGGTTTCAGTCAGGTCATGATCTCATGGTTTGTGAGTTTGAGCCCCACATCAGGCTCCACGCTGTCAGTGAGGAGCCTGCTTAGGATATACCCTCTCTCCCTCTCTCTCTGCCCCTCACCCACTCTGTCTCTCTCTCAAAAGAAATAAATAAACTTGAATTTTTAAAAATTTTACTTTTCATCTTGAAATAATTCATACTTTATATACTTGCAAAAATAGTACAAAAAAAGTCCTATTTACCTTCACTTAGTTCTCCCAAAAGTTAACACTTTATATAATTATATAATACAATGCTCAAAACTAGGAAATTAACATTGATGAAATTCTGCTAAATAATATACATACTTCCTTCAAATTCTTTTTCAGATGTCCCACTAATGTCCTTGAGCATACTTTCGCCTGGGACAGCTCCTCCAATTCATTAGTCTTTGCTTTTTTATGACCTTGACACTTTTGTAAAGTAGTCATCAGATATTTTGTAGAATGTCCCTCAACTAGGTCTTTCTAATGTTTCTTCATGATTAGACTCAGATTATAATTTTTTTGGCAAGAATATCACAGAAATGGTGTTGTGTACTTTATGGTTAAGTATTGGGAGATACATGATGTTGGTATGTTTTATTGCTGGAGACATCATCTAGAACATGTGCTGGAGACATCAACTAGAAGAACATCAACTAGATGGTGTCTGGGTTCTCTATGGTCGTTATTGCCTTTTCCTTTTATAGGAAAAGAAGGAAAAGGTCTATAGGTCATTATTATCTTTTCCTTTTAATAATTATCTTGTGGGGAGTTAGTTTGAGACTATTTAAATATTTTGTTGACATCATGCTTTTTTTCTACTAATTTGAGCATCTATTGGTGATTTTTGCCTTAGCAGTTACTACTGCAGTGTTTTGTGTTTTTTAAATTTTTTATTTATTTTTTATTTTTTAGTGAGAGAGAGTGTGTGAGTGAGGGAGAGGGGCAGAGAGAGAGAGAGAGAGAGAGAGAGAGAGGGTCTTAAGCAGGCTCCAGGCTCCATGCTCAGTGTGGAGCCCATCGCAGAGCTCGATCCCATGACCCTGGGATCATAACCTGAGCCGAAATCAAGAGTCAGATGCTAAACTGACTGAGCTACCCAGGTGCCCTCATTTGTGTTTTAAAAAGTGATATACATACCTATGTCTGTCACTGTGTAGAATGCTTGGGAATGATTTATCAGAAGCTGGAAAATGTGATTAGCTCTGGGGAAAAAAATTGGGGAAGAAGGCAGCTAGACAGCCAAGTCAGGGAGATGTTTTACCATGTAACCTTTTATGTCGTGTGAATTTACTAGGTTCATATCTTATGATTTGGTGAGGGACAGTGATGGAATGAAACCTGTTGACTTAAAAAATAAAATAATCTTTTCAAATGACACAAGAAAAGGGGCACCTAGGTGGCTCAGTAGGTTAAGTGCCAGACTTTGGCTCAGATCATGATCTCACGGTTTATGGGTTCAAGCCCTGCGTTGGGCTCTGTGTTGACAGCTCAGAGCCTGGAGCCTACTTCCATTTCTGTGTCTCCCTCTCTCTCTGCCCCTCCCCTGCTCACACTCTGTCTCTCTCTCTCTCAAAAATAAATAAACATTAACATTTTTTTAAAAAGAAAACAAATGACACTAGAAAACAATTTGCTATAAAAGAAATACATTTATGATGAAAAATATTGGGAGAGGAGAGAAGCTAACTTCTACTTAACAGAAAGGATTTTGTTGTTTCTTTAGATAAAAATCAGGGACGATTTCTTTCTTTTCAAATGTTTATTTCTTTATTTTGAGAGAGACAGAGAGTGTGGGTGGGGGGAGGGACAGAGAGAGAAGGAGAACAAGAGAATCCCAAGCAGGCTCTGCCCTGTCATCATAAAGCCTGACATGGGGCTTGAACTCAAGAACCCTGAGATCATAATCTGAGCTGACATCAGGAGTTGGTTGCTTAACTGAGCCACCAAGATGCCCCCAAATCAGGGACTATTTCATTATATTATCTGAAAGCACAACTACTTGGGTTTGTGATCCAGAACTGTAACTAGCTGGTTCATTCAAAAATTATTTATTTATTAAAATTTTACTTACAATTTGTGATAGATTTTCAGATAAGGTCTACATTTTATAATGTGTCTTTTGGCATAAACATTAAATTCTAAAGAAACATCAGTTCAGCAAGAGAGTCTGGAATTCTTACTATTGAAAGAAGCCATTTTGAGCAAGTATACTAGAATTTTATTTTGAAACATTATATTACTTTTCACAACTAAGAAAAGATAATTTCTTTAAAAATTTCAAGTCATACGTAACTGTGACTTCTTACCATAAGCATTATTCTGAGAGATATTTTGGAACAACTCAGAATGTTTTGGAAGCACTGACTCTCCCTGAGCCACACTTGTCAAACATGATATGTCTTTGCTACTTGTTTTTTTAATGTTTATTTTTTGAGAGAGAGAGAGAGGCAGACTGCAAGTGGGGGAGGGGCAGAGAGAGAGGGAGAGACAGAATCGGAAGCAGGATCCAGGCTCTGAGCTGTCAGCACAGAGCCTGACGCGGAGCTTGAACTCATCAGCCACAAGATCATGACCTGAGCTGAAGTCGGACGCTTAACCGACTGAGCCACCCAGGTGCCCCAATGTCTGTGCTACTTGTAAAATTGATAGGATGCCATTCTTGCCAGCTTGCAAGCACAGTGGGTCACACTGATATTTGTAACATGAAGGTCTATCCCATTTGTCATCAGAGGGTCCCTCCTTTAACATGGGAAAGTAAGTAGGAGGCTTAATCTTACAGATCTCTGAAGTATCCACACAGAAGTTTCTTCAGTACCTTGTGGGATTTCCTACCACTCCAAGTCCCTACTGAACCCCAGTGGTTATATTGCTGTTGCTTGTTCTGTTTCTCTGCTGCTGTCCATGGATGAGATGATGCTCTCCTCTCTAGAACCACTGGAGACAGGGTGAAGGGAATTTGTGTGTGTGTGTGTGTGTGTGTGTATGTGTAATATTACACTAGTTTGTTTCTTTAACTTTCCTGAGACTTGTGTAGGTTAAAATAGAAGTCAAATAGAACTTTTCACAGTGATGGATTTGTTCTCTAGTTAGCACTGTCCAGATAGAGTAGTCACTAGCCATAGGTGGCTGTTGAACACTTGAAATATGACCAGTACAACTGAGAAACTGAACTCTTACACTGTTGGTGGGAATGCAAACTGATATAGTCACTCTGGAGAATCGTATGGAGGTTCCTCAAAAAGTTAAAACTACAACTACCCTATGACCCAGCAATTGCACTACTAGGTATTTATCCAAAGGATACAAAAATGCTGATTTGAAGGGGCACATGCACCTCAGTGTTTATAGCAGCACTATCAACAATATCCAAATTGTGGAAAGAGCCCAAAGATCTATTGACTGATGGATAGTTAAAAACACACAAAATGGAGTATTACTCAGCCATCAAAAAGAGTGAAATCTTGCCATTGGCAACAATGTGGATAGAACTAGAGAGTATTGTGCTAAGTGAAATAAGTCAGAGAAAGACAAATACCATATGATTTCACTCATATGTGGAGTTTAAGAACAAATGAACATAGGGTAAAGGAAGGAAAAATAAAATAAGATAAAAAACAGTGAGGGAAACAAACCATAAGAGACTTTTAACTATAGAAAACAAACTGAGGGTTGGGCTACAGTGGGTGATGGTTATTAAGGAGGGCACTTGTGATGAGTACTGGGTGTTACATGTAAGTGATGAGTCATTAAATGCTACTCCTGAAAACAATATTACACTATATGTTAACTAACTTGAATTTAAATAAAATCTTGGAAGAAAGTAGATATAGATAGATAGATAGATAGATAGATAGATAGATAGATAGATAAAAAGGTGCACCTGGGTAGCTCAGTCGTTTGAGCATCTGACTTTGGCTCAGGTCATGATCTCACAGCTCCTGAGTCGAACCCCACATTTCGCTCTGTGCTGACAGCTCAGAGCCTGGAGCCTGCTTCAGATTCTGTGTCTTCCTCTCTCTCTGCCCCTCCTCCCCAACCCTGTGCTCTGTTTCTCTCTCTCTGTCTCAAGGAAATAAACATAAAAAATTTTTAAATAAATAAAATTTAAATAGTCCCATGTGGTGAGTGGTTACTGTATTGAGCAGCACAGGTTGAAAGCCTAGTTTCTGGAATCTAATTGTTGCCAGCTGTGTGACCTTGAGTTGGCCCCTATATTGCTCTAGGCCTAATTTTCCTCATTTGAGGGATGGAGATGATTAGGTACCGACTTCCTAGGCTTGGTGTGAGGATTAGATGATATGCAGTTGTCCCCCCTCACCCACTCAGTTTCCAATTCCCTTTCTTCGTTTCAGGTACCAGCTGTCAGCTGTGGTGAAAAGCGGAGATTCTCCTTCTAAAGAACCCTTAGGTTAGTCGCAGCCCAGTGCTACCTCACAAGGCTGCATTGTGCACTTTGCCTCATCTCATTGCATAGGCATTTAAAAAAATTTTTTTTAACATTTATTTATTTTTGAGACAGGGAGAGACAGAGCATGAACAGGGGAGTGTCAGAGAGAGGGAGACACAGAATCTGAAACAGGCTCCAGGCTCCGAGCTGTCAGCACAGAGCCCGATGCGGGGCTTGAACTCATGGACTGCGAGATCATGACCTGAGCCGAAGTCGGACGCTTAACCGAATGATCCACCCAGGCACCCCTGCATAGGCATTTTATCATCTCATGTCATCAAAGAAAGGTGAGTACACTACAGTAAGATATTTTGAGAGGGAGAGACCACATTCACTAATTTTTCCTATAGTATATTGTTATAGTTCTATTTTATTAGTTATTGTCAATCTCTTAATTATGTCTAGTTCAAAAATTAAACTTTTATTGTAGTATGTATGTATACAGTATATATAGTGTTTGGTACTATCCATGGTTTCAGGCATTCGTTGATGGTCTTAGAATGTATCTGCTAAGGATAAGGGAGGGACTACTGTGTGTAGAACGAAATGCTTTTGAACCCTCTAAGAGAAGGGCTCAACGACTCCTAGTTGCTGTTTATTATACAAATTACATGGCTCCAATCCACTCTATTGGCAGGAAATGTCTCCTCTTTTTTTTTTTGAGATTACTGTTGTAAGTATTTCTAAGGTTTCCTTTGATGCACACTGTGGACATGAGTTAATGCTTTGTTTTTTAAAAGATTTTATTTAAGTTCCAGTTAGCATACAGTGTAATATTGGTTTCAGATGTACAATATAGTGATTCAGCACTACTAGGTATTTACCCAAAGAATACAAAAATACTAATTCAAAGAGATACATGCACCCAATGTTCATAGCAGCACTATCTACGATAGCCACATTATGGAAAGAGCCCAGGTGTCCATCGTCTGATGAATGGATAAAGATGTGGTGTATATATAGAATGGAATATTACTCAGCCATAAAAAGAGTGAAATCTTGTCATTTGCAGTGAGATGTGGATGGAGCTAGAGAGTGTTATGCTAAGCAAAATAAGGCAGTCAGGGAAAGACAAATACCATATGTTTTCACTCATAGGTGGAATTTAAGAAACCAAAACAGAGGAGCAAAGGGGGAAAAAAGGAGAAAGAGGGAAACCAAGAAACTATAACTATAGAGAACAAACTGATGGTTACCAGAGGAGAGATGGGTGGAGGGACGGGTTAAATAATTGTATGGAAGTGTTCATGCTTTTTTAAAAAAAAATTTATTTTGACAGAAAGCGTGAGTGGGGGAGGGGCCGAGAGGGTGGGTAGTGGAGAGAGGGATCCTAAGCAGGCTCCTTGCCATCAGCACAGAGGGGCTTGAACTCATGAAATATGAGATCATGACCTGAGCAGAAATCAAAGTTGGAGACTTAACTGACTGAACCACCCAGGCGCCCCTAATCAATTTTTTTAAAAAGTGGTGATATGTGTATTTCCAACAAATGTTTTCCGAGGCTTTTCCCTCCAAATGCTCATTTGAACAAAGAAGTAATTAGCAGCTCTTATTTTATATAGGAGGATAAAAAATTAAATTCTTTGGGATATGCTGTAGGGAGAAGCATTCTGAAACTGCACATTAGTTTTACTAGTGCTTTAAACACTTCTTCAACAATAAAACAATAAATTAAAAAAATTCTGCTTGCAAGGTAACCCTAATAATATAAAAGTGAAGTATACCGAAGGAACATTAATAATCCCTTAATTTTTGGCTTGATATTCTTTTGAAATTGTCTTTATGTATTTTGATTTGATTTCATTTGTAGTATTCACAATTCCTGGGTTCACGAGAAGGAGGAAGATTTTGCAAATAAAAGTTAATATTGCTATTTCAAATGAGAACCATTATTAAATTAAAAAAAATATTGCTAAACCCCAAAGCACCTTTGTTTATAGAGGAATATATAGTCAGAGCTAGACTATGGGTGGTAGACTATTTGCCATTAACACCTCCTGAAACCTGGGGATTATTAATTAATTGTGATTAGTTGATATAATGTTCAGAAAGTCATAGCCCCTGATATGTGACAACAATTTTGTTCATTGTATCACAAAGACATTATTTTTCATTGCCGTGGTCATAACTGATTGAAAAGCGAAATTAGCAATATTAGTTTTATCTATTATTTTAACGGGATGTATTGTTCTATGTGAGTGAATTTTCTAGATAAGTGAAGTTCACCACTTCAAGCACGGATATTTTTTTCAATAAGATTGTAAGTTTCACGAGGACAGGGACCAAGAGTTATTTACTGTATTTAAAGTACATTTCCGGGGCACCTGGGTGGCTCAGTCGGTTAAGCGGCCGACTTCGGCTCAGGTCATGATCTCAGGGTCCGTGAGTTCGAGCCCCGTGTCAGGCTCTGTGCTGGCAGCTCAGAGCCTGGAGCCTGCTTCAGATTCTGTGTCTCCCTCTCTCTCTGGCCCTCGCCTGTTCATGCTCTGTCTCTCTCTGTCTCAAAAATAAATAAACATTAAAAAAAAATTAAAGTACATTTCCTAGTGCAAGTACTATTGGGTACAGGCACTTAAAATATACCCTTTTGACTTTTACATAGTTTATTTCTTAGAGCCTCATTAAAAGCAGCAGGGTCGGGTGGAAGGAATCACATTTGCATACTCTGGTACACTTATTTGTTTATATGTTTTCATGCTTTTGTAGACACTTAGCTTCTGTTTAGTTCACCTCTGTATCCTTGGCAACAGTGCTGGTGCCAGCTCAGTGGCTCTCACTAAGTGTCAAATGGCTTGACCTGAACTACCTTAGAGTTAGAATTTCTGAGTGTATATTTTTACTTTGCCAGTTATTTTCCTTGAGTCTCAAATTTCTCATCTGTAACACAGAAGCAAATGAAAAGTTGTTATGAGACTCATATAAGGTGATTCATGTGTGTGTCCATAACCCAGTGTCTGGCATATAATGGGAGCCCAATAAATGTCTCCTCTCTTCCCTTCCTTTCTTTACAGGGCAGGTATTCATTTTCCTCATTTTATAGATGAAGTGTTCTAGGTATAGAAAAGTTATGCGACTTATCAAAGTTCACTTTTGCATTTTAGTAAAAGCACCAGAATTAGCCTCTATCTCTTGACCTCCTACCCATGCTTCTGCTATTAGATCATGCTGTCTCCTGTATTTATCAAATTTCATAGGTAATTATTGGATTTGGGGGGGGCTCGAGCCCAAATGAAGAAATAGATAAGAGAATAAAATTCAGACTAAAAGACAATGAGAATTTTATTAATTTATACAACAAGTGTTTCTTTGTTGTAGGCTCAGTAAAAAGCACTAAGTTTGGTCTTATGTGAGATTCAGAAACCTTATGTGAGGTTGAATGTGGCAAAGTTGTTGCCTTAAAGAATCTGTAAGTGGTAGGAATCAAAAGACATGAATCCAAAGAATGATAATCCAATGCAGTACTTAATAAGAGCCTCATGAGTGATATAAAGTGCTAAGGGAATTCAGAAAGGTTGGAGAGATCACCTGTAGAAGATAGCATGTTTGGGGAGGTGTTATGATCCCCCATCACCATGGTGGTTAGGGTTTAAGGGAACTTGAGTTATGTTTATTCTCAAGTTCTTCTGCCAATGTTACTCCTTGTTTTAGGTACTGTCATCATAGGAAAACACCTGGATTTGGATTTGAAGACAAAGCTCTTTATAAAACCAGTTGTGCAATTATTTCTGCTGCATTGTCCCTTTCTATGTAACAGCTGTTCTGGAAAGTATTGTGTTTGCTTTCCACATTTAATTAGCCACTAATGACCAATATGGTCTATAAATCAGTTCTTTGCTTATTGTTTGTTGATGATTCAGGTCAAGCACGGCAGGTGGTTCTTTATGCTGGATTCTCCAACAAGCATTTATTACAAGATGGATGCATCAAGTTCAATAAAACAGCCAAGCACAAACAGTTTGAAAATGGCCAGGTTCCTAGCATGGGGATATTTCACCACAGGATACTTTACCACAAAATTCAGACTTCCTTTTGAAGCAGACCTTCCTATCTGCTTTCTTCTTATTCCTTCCCTCCTCCCTGTCTCCTTCCTTCCTTCTTTCTTTTTTTTTTCCTTGTTATTTCTTGTGTTCCTACCCAAAGGGAGTATACGAAAGAAATAGAAATTACAACTTCTTCCCAAGTGAAATTGACAATAGATTTAGGGAGACAAATCTGGAACACGAAATGATATGTGAATATAGATATGTGTAGGGTGTGGTAGCCCAGCCTGTGAACTTAAGGGTGGAGAGAATTCACAGTGAGTAAATGATCCGTTTGAGGTAGGGTTTGCCAGGAAAATTTCTGGAAACCAGTTTGCTTTTTCTCTTCTGCCTGCACCAAAGCAAGTTACTTCAGGTGCTGGTCTTTTGATTCCATATGGATGTCATTCTTTATTTGCATTATCGGCACAGCCACATTTTTAAATTATCCAATCCAAACTGACTAATGTCCCGTTTTCTGATTTCATTTCCCAATGTTCATATAGTGTTCAAACTTAGGGCCAATTTGTATTGAGCATGGCCTTTTTGTCTTCCATATATCCTTACATTGGTGTAGCCATAGCTTCCAGTGGGATTGCAAAAGTGGTGTACAGGTAATGGTAATAATAAGAGAGGTATTTTTTTAATGTTTATTTATTTTTGAGAGGGGGGGGTGGGCAGAGAGAGAGGGAGACACAGAATCTGAAGCAGGCTCCAGTCTCTGAACTGTCAGCACAGAACCCTACGCAGGGCTCAAACTCACTGTGAGATCATAACCTGAGCTGAAGTCAGACACTTAACCAACTGAGCCACCCAGGCACCCTGAGAGTTTGTTTTGATGACAGTTTAGTTCTGTATTCCAAATCAAAACTTCCCATTGGTCAAACATTGCCAGGGAAATCCTTGGGAGTGCAAAGGAACATAGCTAATTTTTTTTTTATTTTATTTTTAATGTTTATTTATTTTTGAGAGAGAGAGAAAGACAGAGTGCAAGCAGGGGAGGATCACAGAGAGAGAGGGAAACATAGAATCTGAAACAGGCTCCAGGGTCTGAGCTGTGAGCACAGAGC